GCACTTCTCCATACCTGCCAACACACAAATAAAAAATGCAATGCAACCTAAACAGACTCTAAATGCACCTAAACGATCAATGGAAACATGAAATGGATGATTAAAAGTATGTAAATATGCAAGATATCATAAATAAGACCTCAGGGTCCAAAACACCTCCGGGTTATATCGACACCTCCGGGTTATAAAGGCCTCCGGGTCCAATAGATACCTCCGGGTCATATAGAAACCTCCGGGTTCAATAAGACCTCAGGGTCCAAAACACCTCCGGGTTATATCGACACCTCCGGGTTATAAAGGCCTCCGGGTTCTATAGACACCTCCAGGTTATATAAAAATCTTCGGGTTAAAATAAGACCTCAGGGTCCAAAACACCTCCGGGTTATATCGACACCTTTGGGTTATAAAGGCCTATGGGTCCTATAGACACCTCCGGGTTAAAATAAGACCTCAGGGTCCAAAACACCTCCAGGTTATATCGACACCTCCGGGTTATAAAGGCCTCTGGGTCCTATAGACACCTCCGTGTTATATAGAAACCTCCGGGTTCAAAACGACCTCAGGGTCTAAAAGCAACCTTCGGGTTCAAAACAACCTCAGGGTCTAAAAAGAAACCTCCAGGTTTAAAAACAACCTCCGGGTTCAAGATCACCTCCGGGTCTAAAAGAAACCTTCGGGTTCAAATAACAAACTTCAGGGTTTAAATAAAGACCTCAGGGTCCCAAATGTTAAAAACTCCGAGTTTTGAATTTTTATGAAAAACTACCTAACACCTAATATTATAAATAAACATTATAAACTTGTAATTTATATAACTTCTCCACAGTATTCGTTGAGACATTATAAACTACCTAATACTAAATTAAGATGATCATTTATCATAATGGAACTATATAGCTTCTCTACAGAAAAATACCTAATACTAAATTAAGATGATCATTTATCATAATGGAACTTTGGTTAGTTTATAGGTTCAGCTTTTATATAGTGTGACGATTATTTTTGTTTAATGATTAATGTGGAGTCGTATTGCTCCGATATATTAAAAATAAACATTATAAACTTGTAATTTATATAACTTCTCTACAGTATTCGTTGAGACACTATAAACTGTAAATGTAAGTCTATTCATCCCATTTGTCTTTAGGGATCTCTCCAGAATCAGCAATCACAACTTTCTTCCTTGGTTTGTCACTGTAAGTACCAGCTCCACCTTCAATGGCGAACACATAGTCCATCCCTTGTATAACCTTCCCAAACACAACATGGTGCAGTTCCACCCTATCCACCCACATTTAAAATGCCAAATCATGAATGAAACTACGTATTATTATAGAGCAGAACCGTTGGTTCAAATGGGTGTGTTTGTCTTAAACTCAAAGCTCTTGATCCCAATACAATTTGGTTCTATGTAAGAGCATGAGGGTTTATAAATGAGAGGAGAGAGTACTAGCTAGCCTTGACAGTATGATAAAGAACTGTGAACCATTAGAATCAGGTCTTGTATTAGCCATCGCTACAACACCTACATAACGCACGGATTTAGTTTAGCTACAAGAAGAATACATGAAACTCACTTGTGGGAACCGAAATTCACAGTTGTCGATTTCCGTTAAATAAGGAAACTTAGGAAAACCCTAATTTTCCAGAGGAACCGGATCTCTGCGAAAGCCAACGACAAGTAACCAAATAAATGCGGAAAAATATGAAAAACATAGTAAAACGAATTTATAAAGAAAGTCGATCTTATTTCCGATTCGCGTAAGAGCGTTGCGATCATTACAAGGAATTACAAAGG